AGTCGGGAGGACGTCCCAAAGCGCTGAACAGTCAGATGTCGGGGCCCGAGCATGGGGGAGGGGTGGTGTTGGGGTGAGGGAAGGCAGAGAGGTGGGAGGGAGACCAAAGGCACGGTCGAAGAGAAGGGTCTTGAGACCGGCCTTGAAGGAGACAAGGGAGGAAGTGAGGCGAAGGGACCGTGGGATGGAGTTCCAGAGTATGGGGGCAGACAGGCTGAAAGCCCAGCGCCGATGGAAGGGCGGGTCGGGTGGGAGACATGGAGCAGACCGGAGCCCGCTGAACGGAGGGAATGGGCAGGTTGGTAGGGTGTCATCAGGTCAGAGAGGTAGGAGGGGCAAGGCCATGGATTGCCTTAAAATGAGGACGAGGATCTTGAACTTGATCCTCTGGGGGATGGGGAGCCAGTGGAGTCGGGTGAGGGTGGGAGTGATGGGGTCGCGGAGCCTGGTACGCGAGAATACACGAGCTGCAGAGTTTTGGATGATCTGCAGCTCGTGAAGGGAAGAGTTGGGAAGGCCGATGAGGAGGGAGTTCCCGTAATCGAGCCTTGAGGTGATGAATGCGTGGGTGAGGGTTTCGGCAGCCTGATGGAGAGGCAGTAGCGGAGTCTGACAAAGTTGCGGAGGTGGTGGTAGGCAGTGCCGGTCATGGCACGGATGTGGGGGAGAAAGGACAGTTCAGGGACAAACAAGACACCCAGGTTCCTGACTGGTTTAGTGAGGTTGAGGGTGCAACCATGGAGGCTGATGCTGCCAGCGCCTGAGGTGTGGAGGCGTTGGTGCGAGCCAATCAGGATGGCCTCGGTCTTGCTGACGTTGAGTTGGAGAAAGTTGGCCCTCGTCCAGGACTTGATGTCGGACAGGCAGTCGGTCAGGACCTCAGTAGTCCTGGAGTTCAGGGTGGAGGCAGAGAGGTAGAGTTGGGTGTCATCCGCATACATGTGGAAATTTACCCCATGGGGGGGGGGTCAAGCAGAGATAGGAGGCAGGGAGGGCAGAGAGAGAGCAGGACAGAGAGCGGGAGAATTGCAGGGAGAGGGGCATTTTGAGGGAGGGCCAGCTCGGGTCGGGGGCAGCAGCCAAGAATCGCACGCTGGGACAGGAGGCGGCGGGTTTAGTAGGACATTGTCAGCCTTCAGGAAGCTGGGGGTGCTTGAGTTGGCACAGAGTGGGGAGGGCGCTCATTGTGAATAGCAGTGAGCAGCCTGCAGGAGAAGGACAGGAGAAACAGACAGACAGAGGGAGGGAGACACTAGTACAGGCTATACTATCCTGTGCTATATTGTGTTGTAGCTGCTACCAGGGATTCAAACCTGGCGGACGGAAGTGACGTCACGTGGAATGGCAGGAAAAACTGGAGGTCCAAAATGGCATCCCCCCCTTGACCGGTAATGGCCACCGCTCGATCTCCGCGACATCCACCCCACCTCAAGGTCCTGATCCCCGGGAGACCGGCCCTGTGCCTCCCTGTCGCTGCCTGACATACCTTCCGTGAGTCTCGCTCAGTTTACCTGGGTTTTCGAGGCCCTGCCGCTCGCTGGCCCACGATACGTGTCAACCAGACTCCATTCGTAGCACTCTCGGCTCCAAGTCAGAAGGTTGTGGCTCCAATCCCCGAGTCAGTCTAGGCTGACACTCAAATACAGTGATGGGGTGCACTGCACTGTCGGAGGTGCCATCGTTTGGATGAGACATTAAACCGAGGTCGTGTCTGCCAGTTCAGGTGAATGTTAAAGATCCCATACCACTATTTAAAAAGAGAAGGGAGTTTCCCCCGGTGTCTTGGCCAACAATTCCCCAAATAAATTTTGTTATTCACATCATGGCTATTTGTGGGATATTGCTGCGTGTAGATTGGCTGCTACCTTTGCTTCGAAACAAATGCACAGACACTGCACTTTACAGTGACTCCTCCGTCTCATCCCTTTTTTGTGTCTTTAATCCTGCCTCAAATCCTACCTAGTCAATCACGCCTATCACGCCTACCAACCTGACATGCACTCCAAGAAGTTACCCTACCTGAAAGGTTCTATATAAATGCAAGTTATTGTTTTCCTATGTGAAAGGTTCTATATCAAATGCAAGGATTATTTGTATTTAAAGATTCAAACCATCTTCCACTTTCCTTCCTCTTTATCTTCCACAGAAAAAATGCACTGAAAGTAGAATGTAGTTATTTACTCATTTCAATTTTATTTATCTGATCTAAAGATTACATCAAAACTCCATACAAGTGCATTCCCTCTAAATAAAGATCTAAAATAAATTAAATTCTACCGACAAGGTAAGGCCACAACAAAAATTGAGTTGTTAGAATCAGAGCATAGTTTTTTTAAAAAATAAATTGAATCACAAAAATGTAGTGACAAATAAATATTTATGACTGGGGAGAGGGGGCTAAAAATTTAGATTTTAGAGGCAGATTTCAGATCAATGAAGCAGCTTTATTTCAGAGTGAGCTGTGTCAAAATCCCTGATGTTTTCTTTCATACCAAAGCATAAACATAGGAACATAGGAATTGCTAGATGAAAGAAGATCCCTCCAATTTGCCTTAGACCATCCTGGCAACTGCGTGCACATGTCATGTCCCAAATTATATACTGTACGCCAAGATATTATTTCCTAAAATAAATCTTTCATTTCCTTTTGAAAGAATGAGTGAAAAAATGAGCATAATGTTTTGTGGTCCTGAAGTGAGTAACTTGGAGTCTGCCAGTTCTCTCTTTTTAAAAAAAATCCTGTGTCTGTTTCAAAAACAAGGGGGTGGGGAGGGAAATCAAATACAGTAAAAACAAACGATTCTTGTCAGCTCCATGTAAAAGCTCTATATAAAAAAAACTGCCCACTTCAATCAATGACTATTTGCAGGATACTTTCCTGACACCCAGTCAGTACAGGAACCTGGGTGTCTTGTTTGACCCTGAACTGTCCTTTTTCCCCCACATCCGGGCACTGCCTACTACCACCTCGGCAACACTGCCAGACTCCGCCACTGTCTCACCCCTCAGGCTGCCGAGACCCTCACACACGTATTCGTCACATCAAAGCTCGATTATGGAAACTCCCTCTTCATCGGCCTTCCCAACTCTTCCCTTCACAAACTGCAAATCATCCAAACTCGAGTTCAAGATCCTCGTCCTCACTTTCAAGGCTCTCCATGGCCTTGCCCCCTCCTACCTCTCTGACCTGCTGACTCCCTACCAACCTGCCCGCTCTCTCCACTCAGTGGGCTCCGGTCTGCTCCATGTCTCCCGCCCGACCCACCCTACCATCGGTGGCCGGGCTTTCAGCCTCTCTGCCCCCACACTCTGGTACTCCATCCCACGGTCCCTTCACCTCGTTTCCTCCCTTGCCCCCTTCAAGGCCGGTCTCAAGACCCTCCTCTTTCATCGTGCCTTCAGTCGTCCTCCCACCTCTCTGCCTTCCCTCACCCCTACCCCACCCCTCCCCTTTGCTCAGGTCCCGACCCCGGACTGTCCAGCGCCCTGGGGCATCCTCCCGCTCTGTAAATGTAATTTTGCTGTTGCTGTGGTGCAATTGGCTGCCGAGTTTCGCCCACAACATACAGTCAATTCACTTTACAGTATATTCTGTGAAGCGCTTTCCGACGACTGGAAGACGTGATAAGGCGCCGCATCCAATACAAGGGAGGATTAAGGAGGATATTCTGCAAAGGGCTTTTGAGACGTCTCGAAGGCCTGATAAGGCACTTTATCAAACACATGGACTATTATTATTATTATTATTATAGATGAACTACTGAAGGCTTTGATGCGAGGAGCAAACCAGCAACGGCATGTGCAGCACAGCAACCATGGCAACCGTTGACTTAGTGACAGGTGGGCACTGATTGACAGGCGCTTCTCTCACACCTTCCCCCCTCCTTCCCTCCAACAACCTCCATCACCACCACCACACCCCCGACCCTCATCGGTTCCTACTTTCTCCTCAGAGTAGCCCTCACTTCCTCTCGCTCACCCTCTGCCCCTCCTTCTCCGGCTCGACTCCCAATGATCAGCCTCCACGCTGTCTCCTCCGGTCGCGCGCAGTGACACCTTCTCCGATTGGATCGGAGCGTCTCCCGGGCGACGGAGCTCGCTCGAGCTACAGAGAGAGAGCGCGAGATTGCCTCGTTGCTGGCCTGTCAGTAAACCGCCCCGCGATTGGCCGAAGGGAAGGCGCCCCCCCCCACCACCCGCTACCGCCGGGGTCGAGCCGACGTCACGACGTCACTTCGCGGCACCGGGGCCGCCTCGAGTCAAATCAAAACCGAAGGAGATCGCGGGCGACCGTTGGTCCGGGTGCGTGCGCCGCCCCTTCCGCTCGCGCAAGCCGGGTGCGGTGTCACCGGAATCTGTGTCCCCTCGCGCGCACGCGCGCGCCTCCATTTTCACCTCGTTTTGCGAGCTCTCCCCCGCACAGTGTGAGGCGGGAAGGGGTGTGTGTGTGTGTGTGGGGGTGTGTGGGGGAAGGTAAATCGCGACACACGCATCCACGCAAGACGGGTGCGCGCGCGCTGCCTCTCCCTCCTCCTCTGCTCCCCGGACGCAGAGCCGCACAGTTCCGCGCCGCTCCGCGCTGTGTGATGTTAGCCCGGGGCTGAGACAGGCATTCCCGGCGGCCCCCCCCCCCCAGCCCTGCCCAGCCCGGCCCGGCTCGGCCCTTACCTTCACCCCTACCCCGTCCCCCCCTCTCTCTCTCTCTCACTCACTCACTCACACCCTTCCCGGTCACAGGGCGGCTCTCATTTCAAACTCTTTCCCACCCTTTTTTTTCTCTCTCTCTCTCTCTCTCTCTCTTTTCCCCCCCTTTTTTTTTTAACCTTCCCCGAGGTGTGTGGTTTTTTTGGTGTGTGGGGGGGGGGGAAGAGGGAGGCGGTGTTTTTTTTTCTCTCTCTCCCTCTCTCCTCTCCTCCCCTCGCGGTTTCTTCTCGTGTGTTTCGTTCGTAAATAGAGAGAGAGAAAGAAGAAGAAAAAAAAATTCTCTTTCTTTCTCTCTCTCTCTTTCTCTCTTTTTTTTGTGTGTGTGTGTGGGGGGGAAGGGGGAGAGAATCGGTAATAAAATGGCGGAGTTGGCGGCGGCGGCGGAGATGAAGAGCCTGGTCTCGCACCCGGCCGGCTGGCAGTCTCTGCTCTCCTTCACCGTCCTCTTCCTGGCCTGGCTGGCGGGCTTCAGCTCCAGGCTGTTCGCCGTCATCCGCTTCGAGAGCATCATTCACGAGTTCGACCCGTGGTGAGTGCGCCGGCGGCTCCCGCCTGCCCTGCAGCCATTAGTCTTGTCGTCCAGCGGCCACGGTGGGAGGAGGGGTGGGTGGGGGCGGGCGGGAGACCCACCTGGGTCTGGTGGGGATGAGGGGAGGAAAGGGGGTGGGGGGACGGGGGGCATGAGGGACACGGGGTACAGTGGGGGTGGGGCTCCGGGTACCAGGCTCTGGGCATGGGGTACAGGGGGGCCAGAGGACTTGGGCCTGGGGTACAGGGGGGGGCTGGGGGGACTCTGGGCATGGGGTACAGGGGGCCTGGAGGACTCTGGGCATGGGGTACAGGGGGCCTGGAGGGACTCTGGGCATGGGGTACAGGGGGCTGGGGGGACTCTGGGCATGGGGTACAGGGGGGGGGGACTCTGGGCATGGGGTACAGGGGGCTGGGGGGACTCTGGGCATGGGGTACAGGGGGCTGGGGGACTCTGGGCATGGGGTACAGGGGGCTGGGGGACTCTGGGCATGGGTACAGGGGGCGGGGGGACTCTGGGCATGGGGTACAGGGGGCCGGGGACTCTGGGCATGGGGTACAGGGGCGGGGACTCTGGGCATGGGGTACAGGGGGCTGGGGGGACTCTGGGCATGGGGTACAGGGGGCCCGGAGGACTCTGGGCATGGGTACAGGGGGCTGGGGGGACTCTGGGCATGGGGTACAGGGGGCTGGGGGGACTCTGGGCATGGGGTACAGGGGGGCCGGGGACTCTGGGCATGGGGTACAGGGGGGCCGGAGGACTCTGGGCATGGGGTACAGGGGGCTGGGGGGACTCTGGGCATGGGGTACAGGGGGGCTGGGGGGACTCTGGGCATGGGGTACAGGGGGGCCCGGAGGACTCTGGGCATGGGGTACAGGGGGCTGGGGGGACTCTGGGCATGGGGTACAGGGGCTGGGGGGACTCTGGGCATGGGGTACAGGGGGCCTGGAGGGACTCGGCATGGGGTACAGCGGGGTCCGGAGGGACTCTGGGCATGGGGTACAGGGGGGGCTGGGGGGACTCTGGGCATGGGGTACAGGGAGCTGGGGGGAATCTGGGCATGGGGTACAGGGGGGCCCGGAGGACTCTGGGCATGGGGTACAGGGGGCTGGGGGGACTCTGGGCATGGGGTACAGGCGGGGCTGGAGGGACTCTGGGCATGGGGTACAGGGGGCCCGGAGGACTCTGGGCATGGGGTACAGGGGGGCTGGAGGGACTCGGCATGGGGTACAGGGGGGCTGGAGGGACTCGGCATGGGGTACAGGGGGGCTGGAGGGACTCTGGGCATGGGGTACAAGGGGGGCGGAGGACTCTGGGCATGGGGTACAAGGGGGGCGGAGGACTCTGGGCATGGGGTACAAGGGGACTGGAGGGAATCTGGGCATGGGGTGCAGGGGGGCCTGCAGGAATCTGGACATGGGGGGCTGGAGGGAATCTGGGCATGGTGTACGGGGGTGCCCGGAGGACTCTGGGCATGCGGTACAGGGGTGCCCGGAGGACTCTGGGCATGGGGTAGAGGGGTGCCCGGAGGACTCTGGGCATGAGGTACAGGCGGGGCTGGAGGGACTCTGGGCATGGGGTACAGGGGTGCCCGGAGGACTCTGGGCATGAGGTACAGGGGGGGCTGGTGGACTCTTGGCATAGGGTACGGGGGGGGTGGAGGACTCTGGGCATGGGGTACAGGGGGGCTGGAGGGAATCTGGGCATGGGGTACAGGGGTCCTGGAGATTTCAGCTGAGCAAAGTCATTGTGGGCCTTCAGTGGGAAGGCTGGAATGTAATTCTTGTTTCCCTCCAGTAATATTAAGGAATATAGCCAATGGCAATAATGAGACAGACATGGGACATTCTCAATGATGTGTATTGCGAATAAACAATGTTCGAATGTTTCAGTGCTTTGGGACGTACACCCAAGGTGAAAGGTGCTATAAAAATGTAATTTGATGTTGAAATTTTTCTTGTTTTTTTGAATATTTTAATTTTGATCTTTGTAAGGAGTTGCTGCTGCTAATTTTCACTTGTCAGACCATAACAGAAAATTGGGATACAATGTCATTATAATTTGCATCTCTAGTATTTTCCTAACTTTATTTACTTCTGGATTTTTAATTTTCGGTTTAAAAAGCACATTTGTTAATTTGCTTCCTCGATCATCTGATTGGTTATTTAATTTTAATTGAATTGGTTCCAAAATATCTCAACTTGTAACTCAGTATTTTCTTCAGAAAAGACAGGACCGGCCTTGTAAAATGGAAGCATGCATTTAAGGATTGAGACATGTATGCTCCACAGTGACCAATGGAAACAAATTTAGTAGAAAGAATGATTTGCAGGGCCCAGCTTTTTCTAATTGTATCTTGTCGTGATGTTGGTAATCTTCTTAACACACTGGATAGAGACTTAATTGTTTTGATAAGGCGTATGAAATCATTGTAAGGTTTTACAATCAGTGTAATGTGTGCCAATGTGCTTCAGTCCTCTGACATCTTGGTTTATTATTTTAAAAAATGTTATTCTTATTGAGGCTAAGCCTTATGAACCAGAACAGCATCTGTCTGTTCAGTTTAAATGTGTGGCCCACATGTTCTGGCTAATCTCTAAATTATATGAGGTGGTCGAATGGGATGACTTATCAATATAAAAAAAGATGAGCATTATTGACATTCTGACACAACCGCCTCTTGTAAGGTACAGTAATCCAAAATGTGATACCTTTGATAGAGCATTCTAAAGACATCCAGAGGTTTCTTTTCCACTTAACCTTTTGGTTCCAATATTCTACTTATGGAAGTTGGCATCAAAATGGGCCCCTTAGTATCTGAGATAAAATAACGAATATTAATTTATTATCTATACACCAGTGTTTTTTTCAAAACACGGTATCGTTGCAGTCATGAAACATTGCATTAAATTGTAATTGTTACCTATAGACACACAGACAGGGTCTGTCAATGGTAAAGTGGGGGAGGGAGTGTCTGACATCTAATACATTTGAAAATTCAAGTCTGGAGGTGAGGTGCATGGATGATGGCTTGAACAGCATTGGACATGAGATTGGGATGGAGATGGGTAATATAGCGAAGGTGCAGAAACGTGGTCTTGGTCAAGGACAGGATATGAGGGAGGATAGTGAGTGGAGGATTAAATTGAACACCAGAGTATGTACTACACTACTCTGGGAGCTGAGGAAGGACCCAAGTAGGCTGTGGAAGTCTGAGATAGGCACAAAACAAATTTAATAGGAGCCAAAAAGGGTGGGTTCCATCTTGTTGAGCTGAACAAAGCTGAGCCTCGTATTGGATTGTATTTCTTAATATGTGCACCAAGGACAACTGTAGTTATTAGTAATGATGCTGTTTTACTTTCACCCTGTGTTTAACATTAACTGCAGTAAATTACCACAAAAATGCATCCCTAAATACCTTTTCAGATAATAAGGTGCAAAGAAGTGGGGGGTAACTTCCATCCATTGTTTCTTCCTCCCATTCAGTGCTGAAAGACCATCTTTAATAATCAGTTTTCTTCTCTTTAACATAGAAACAGGAGTAGGCCATTCAGCTCATCAAGCTGTGCTGCCATTCTATAATATCAAGGCCGATCTGTACCTCAAGTCCCATTACCCTCCCATGCCCCGTATCCCTTAATACTCTTAACTTAACAAAAGTCTATCTACCTCAGTCTTGAAGATGTGAATGGATCCAGCATCCACAGCTTTTGGGGGCAGAGTTCCAGATTTCCACTTCCTCTTGTGTGAAAAACTGCCTCCAAAATTCATTCCTAAATGTCCGAGCTCTAATTTTAAGAATATGCCCCCATGTTCTGGATTCCCCCACCAGAAGAAATAGTTTATCTGTATCTATTCTATCAAAACCCTTTATTATTTTAAAAATCTCAATCAGATCACCCCTCAACCTTCTAAACTCAAGGGAATAGAGAACCTTTGGAATCGTGAAAACTACAACGAAAATGAAGACATTCAGCCCATTGAGAGCCTGTGCCGGTGTCAGATCTTCCACTCAACTTGTAGGCTCTCATTGCCAATTCCTCATGTGGTGAATTAAATAGCACTCCGGAGACTGCTGGATACTGCTGGATGGAACTGTCTCTAAGGTATCACTGTCCTGGGGGTATAAAAGGGCAGGTTCTGAATTCCAGCACCTTTGGTTTGAGAAGCTACAGGGAAGCATGTGTGATACTGCTACAGGAAACTGCTGCTCTGTTTATAGGAAGTCCTGATGTAGGAGTCCAGACATAGATCCTCACCTGTTCTAATTATAATTGTGTTGTCATTCTAGAAAAAAATGTAGTTATACTAAGCATCAAAGTCCCAATGCAGATCAAGCTTGTGGCATTTAAGACCTGGGTGCATATATTTTATGGATCTGAGCTCCTGGAATTGCAGCAGAGAGGCCCATTTGCGAAGTCCAGGATCAAACAGTGAGGTGGATTTATGCAAACACAAGAACGGCTGCAGGGAGGAAGGGCTTTGGCCTACATGAGCTGTAGCTTAGCACCCCGGAGGCAGAGGCAACTTCACAGGCGGGTACATTAATTTCCCAAAGCCCCTTGCTTGATGACCTGGATTAAGCAGCTGGTGCTGGGTAAGCCTAGTATGCGGCACTTAACTTGGACCTCAAGAAGATCAGGATGGCTGGCACGTCACTTGCTGTCCCGTAAAGGTCCTCCCAACTTGCTGAAGGCAGATGTCTGCCAGATAGCTGATGAGGCAACTCTGAGGCTTGGGATGACAGCTGCTGGAAGGCAGCTGGAGTCTGGGTTTGTGAACACTTCTTTGTACATCCAAAGAAAATCTACCTTGTTTGGTTTGCAGAGAGTTAAGCAGCTATGGCACAAGCTCAGCACATCATATGGAGAGGGTGCGCATTTCATTCCAATAAATATCTGCAATTTTGATATACGAGGGATGCATGGAACTCTTGATTATTTAGCATATTGATGGATTTTCAATTTCAAGATCCTCACATTCATTTTCAAATTTCT